TAAGAGCATCTTAATTCGCCGCCAAGCGGAGTAAGAAAGAGTACCATAACTTATTAATAAAAATACGTATACCAAATGTTCGTCTCAATTTATTTCTACAACAAGTTGCCGAGAAAAATAAATGAATGAAAAGCACATTTTAAACAAATTTTCAACTGTTTGAGCGCGATGAGCTCTCATGCGTGTAAAAATTTTTACATCGAATAAACAGAATAGATGTATGAAACGAACTTAAATTTCATTTATGGTTTTCTCAAAATTTTTTCTCTATTTCTCTATTTTTCGACTTGATTAACTGGAAAATATAAGTTACAAACTTTATTATTATAATAATGAATTTTCTTTCTTTTTTTTTTGTTTTTTTTTTGCTTAAATTATAAAAATTCTATTAGCAAATGATGTTACTACCAATAATAACCAAAGTAATATGATAATAACCAAATAAAACTAACAAAAAGTAAAAGAAGTAAAAACAAAAAACTGTTCTACGAAAAGTCATAAAAATTTATGGCATATTATAACCATAAAGGGATCAAAAGGACGAAAAAATCAAGTCAGGAAGTGAAAATTTATCAAAAGTGCAAAAAGAAAACAAATTATTATGAAGCACATATGGTTCTCATTTATTCTAAAGAAAACAATATACAAATATACAGAAACTATAATATAACAATATTAGATTTGAAGGAGTCAAGAAAGAGGAGGTCGAAAACATTTCATCAAAAACTATTGAATAAAATTTTCTTTTTTTCTTTACTGATTCTTTTCGTTTTTTTTTTGTTGCGGAATTTTAGTATTGAAAAAATTGATTTTATTTGATTTTCTTACTACTCGTAGAGGAGAAAATATTGGTGGTTTTAGTGAAAATCATTTAATAATGGATATTAGATATAATAAAAATTTAGTGGATATACGAAAATATTGAAATAAAGTGTTGGCTATTTTTAGATTTTATATTTAAAGAAAGATTTACTTAGAAGTTTATTAGATTATTGGTTAAATATATTGAAAAATTAAAATAAATGACGTTAAAATTTTACTAGAATATTGTAATTCTGAAATTTTACTTATAAAAACATTTTTTTAATGTAGAATATTGCAAAACAAATATTTTCAAGTAATTAAAACTTGTAATTTCATAGACTTCATAATTCTAAAGCCACTTCGAACTATGTGTTCGAAAAGTAAAGAATATTTTAGCTTTTAATGGGACAAAAAAAGCTTATTTCAGTATTCTCAAGTTTGTTTCGACCAAAGGAACTAAAAACGGGTCCTTCGAAGATACAATTTTGTATAGTATTTCGATTTATAGCAATGAAACCAACAATCTCAAATGAAATTTAAACATACAAGAAAAGAAATCTCCTATACCGGCAATCAACGTTGTTAAAAATTTAGATAGTATCACTAACCAAAAAATTTTAAATTACGATATTATTTTGTTAATTGTACCAGAGATGCTGTTTTGCTTGTGATATGTGGGATTATGGAAAGAAAATGAAGCAGCGACGTAATCTACATCAAAATTCTTTGCAGATTGATAAAAAGCTAAATATATGAAATTAACAAGTAATTATAAAAAAATTGCATATATCAAGGGGTTTTCCCTGAAAATCGTAAATCGTAATTTATAACAAAATTATAAAAAACTAAGAATATGAAGTAAAGCATATTGGAATATGGGTCCCAAAAAATATCCTCAAAAGAGTTTAGTATCCAATATCTGGCATTCTTAGAATGAAGTAATTAGTGTACAACATACTTAATTCTTAAATATCAAGATTTCGAAAAAACAATCACATTAGAATTCTTATTCATTCTGTGGATCTCATTTTGAATAAATTGTTCGACAAATTACATACATTTACTCTGAAGAAAATCTAAAAAAAATGATTTGAAATTTTACAAGTAATGTTAAACACATAACAAGTTGAGAATAAGCAGGGTTGACCGTATCAACTTTGTGGTACACGTACGAATTTTAAGTGGTGTATGTTAATTATCACACTGTTTCACACATACTCTTAGATGTTTATATGTAGAGTGGTTTTATACATATATGGCTGTTACTACATACATTCACACTATCTCAAAGAAATTTTATATAAAAATAATAGTCACATTACCATATTCGTTAATGCAAAACTTTAACTAGTTTTATTAATTATAGTATTAAGTAAGAGTAATAATAATAATATTTTCTTGTATGAAATTTCAATACTGAAGATTCTATAACTTCTGAGATCTAACCAAATAACTTTTGAAGTTCTATGGCAGTTATGATGAGAGCTCATGATAATAAAAGCTCATGAGTTATAATAAGACTGCTACTATCGAAGGTTCATGATTAAATCGATTCAAAATTCTCCGTTAATCAAAAGCATACACTTATGTCTATATCTCAAACTATTATTTCTTTCTATTACATATGGTAAGGCCAAATTTATTATGTCCTTCGAACATACAAGTACGTTCGTGCGGATATAAAAATTTACTTTTGTTTTGAAAATTGCACGTCTACATGTTGTAAAATAATTTTCTTGTTTTTTATAAAAACATAGATGAAATTCACAATAACCATAACCAAAAATTAAAAATTTACTAAAAAACTTTATCTGTACCAGATTTCAACCAAATATTCTTTTCTTTTTTTTCACTTGTTTGCTTTTTCTCCAATTTTTGAGTTTCAAAAAAAAAAATTTTTATTAAAGAAAAATATCAAATGTTTTTTTTAGTTTTTCCTTTATTTTTTGTTGTTCTTATACTTTATCTCTAATAAAAATCTAATAAACTGCATTTTCGGATTTTCTTTCTACCCCATAGGAAAAAATATTTGTAATGAAAAGTAAAATCCTTAAAGGATAAAATAAAACTAAAAATTCAATTTAAAAACTTGTTGCTAAATTTTCCCATTCCTTGCCTTGCATCCTCTTTCGTTTACATGCCAAAAATATTGATTTTTTACAATTATTATAGTTGCTTGAATTTGAGTTTTTTTTTTGTGTATAATAAAGTTATAAAATAAGAGCATAGAATAAAACATAATAATTTTTTTGTGGATTTAGAGCTGAAGAACTAGAAGAAAAAAATTAACAAACATTTTCATTTCACTCGTCAAACACATAGACAATAGATAACATTCTTATTCAAGGTAGCTGTATTAAAAAATATTTTTTATAAAAAAATTTGGAATTTATTTCGATGGATTAAAATTTTCTGATTTTTCCACGTTCTGCTCTATTAATCCTTAAAAAATATTTTAGTTTTTTGTTTAGTTTAGATGAGGCTCGCAGAGGAACTAATTAAAATCCTTTTAATTTTTCGTATTTCGTACAAATTATCAGCATTTTTATTAAAAATTTTAATAAATTCATGAATTTTTCAACTATTTAATTAGGATTTTTGTTTGTATTCTTAAATCCATTCTTATCTACAATTTGATTTATTAAAATTAAATAAATGAGCGAGGCAGACTGTGCAATAATTGTATATTAACGAGAAATATATCTTCTCAAAATATTATAGCCCTATAATGCTGGAAAGAAGAAGACGAACAATATTTTTTTTTCAAATTTTTATAAAATTTAAATTATTTAGTATTGCAAGCTAGTAAGAACAATAATATAATTACATAAACGCATTCAATTTTCTGCTATTTAATCTTCATTGCATATAACATTATTCTTCATTGAAGGAGTGAAATTAAAGAGGCAAAAAAAATAAAATACTCTTCTGCAAAATGCCATTTGCGGTACGTGAATGCAAGAAACTGTAAATGAGTGGTATCAATTGGTAGATAATATAACTGCTTGTGGGATGTGGGATTATACAGAAAACATTAATGCAGCGACATAATCTACATGAGAATTGTTTGTAAATTGAAAAGCTAAAAGTGTGAAATTAACAAGCAATAACAAAAAATTGCATATCCCAAGGGGTTTTCTCTGAAAAGAAAAGTATTTCTTCAACTTAATACAAAGCTATGATGTTAATCAAAATATTTTTATAATTTTATACAAAATTTTGGGGTTTATGAAGTAACTGCCCCAAAACTTAAAACTTAAACTGCCAGCCACTGCGGGTTGATCTCTGCTGAAGAATCAAGGATTATTGTTGAATTTTTCTCTCAGTTAAATGTTTTGTAATTTAGCAAATTTAAAGATTGAGTTATGTGTCAATATACACTTCAATTTTTTGTTCAATTGTTATCAATTCAATATACACTTCCAGTTACTTTGAATTGGTCAAAAAAAATCGCAGGATGTATACTTTCTGCAAAATGGAATAGAATGAAATAAAATTTACCATAACTTTTACTAAACTTCTACTTCAGTTAATTTTATTTCAAATTTATCGTTTAATGCTTTTACTTCTGTAGCTAAGTGTGGTCACCTTTCAATTCTATTTCAATCTATTCCAATTTCAAAATGAACTCAAATTTGTAATATAATTGTTTAATTATTTAATTTTCTTTTGGCATAAAAACTGACTTTAATACCCATTAATCCAAAACAGAATTCTGGTTAAAACTATAAGAATATTATTCTCAATTTACCAATTAAAACTATAAGAACTTAGTAAAAAAAAAGTATAACAAACCATTTTGTCTTTATGGGAAAAAATTTACAGTGAACTAATTTTGAATTTTTTTTTTAACACAACTGTAACTAATTGATAATTACCTTCGTTAGCTGCAGCACACATCCTGAATTTATTCCTTAAATATTCAGTATAATAGAATTTGAATTCGGTACAGTACTTATAGTCTGTTTTGTACTTTGTTCAAATCCAAATTAAATAGTTCTGTAAGAAATAGTTTTCCGGTCTATTAAATGCAATTGGAATATGATGAAATTAAAGAAAAATGCAAAATTTCCATTGAATATTTTTATTTTTTTTTCTATACCTAATTAAAACCAAGTTCCTGCAATTTTTTTTTAATATTGTATTTTTCGATTATTTTACTTTCTAAATGAATATATTCTTTTTTCATTTTGTAGATGGTTGCAACGGATGAAGCACAAACAGCACAACAAAATCAAGCATCAGATACTGGCGGAGGAGGAGGTGGGAGTAGTGGTACTTTTGGTAAATTAAAACAAACTTTATCATCATCATTATTAACGGCACAAGATAAAGGTAAATTGCATTTATATATTATTATACCTCTATGTAATATATATTTACAAAATATGTTATATATACATGTAATGTACTTACTTAGGTACTTATTTTCTAATAGCATTTAAGGTTTTTTTTGTTTAAAACTAAAATAATATTGTAATCCATGTAAAAATTATTAGATCCGACCATAAGTAAATGGTATATGTCAAAGGTAATAATACCTACCGGTTTTATAGTTTATTATTTTACAAAATATATGTACAATGTATGTATATTTTATTATGACCTTTTACTGCATTTTGATTTTGTATGTACATGAAAGTGAATATTTTAATGGGATGCCGGCCAAGAATTTTTTTTTAAGAGAAATTTTCAGTATTTGAAGTAAATTTTGTTTTTGTTACAAAAACTTATAATGATAACAAATATTTTACTTAAAAGGATAAACAATGGATAAAATTTTACTTGAAAGGATAAAATCAATACAAATGGAATTTTTTTAATTTTTTTAAGATTGATTATTGAAGAAATTTAATTAAGATTCTTAATATCTTTTCATTTTTTTTTACAAGAAAAGCTTAAAATCCTATTATTTTAAAAAGTACAGTACATAAGGGCACGTAAAGGACGAACTCTTTGATATTCACTCCCTAATAACTATTCCCTCTTAGAATAATATTTAGTATTATTTTTTTTAAATAATTAACAATACTTTTTCAAAATAATATTAATAATAATTTCTGAACTCATGACTTGCTATAAGTGATTATGGAAATCATAAGATAAGCGTTTCTCCTTTTATGCTAAAAACTCTAAATATTTGCATAAATGTTTATAAATATGAATACGATTAAATCTTTAAAAAAAATAATCATTTACTTTTAGTTTTAATTGTGTTTGACCACTAAATTGTTCTTTAATTCCCAACAATTTCCCTAAATTTTTTCTTTAATTCAAAATTTTAAAATATAAACTCAATCAAGACCATCTCAATATCTATAATTATATTCTTCACATTGATTTCTGCTTTTCAAAGATGAGAAACTTGCTCTATCAAAAAATTAACAATCTGAATTTTTGTTCTTTGAATTTTTACCAATTCTTAGACTTCTAAATTTAGACTTAGACTTAGAATAAATTCATTTCTTCAAAACACTAATACACTGAGTGTGCTTTTAACAGTTAAGTTTCTGCGAAAATTTCAAGCAGCTCGCGCCAATTACCTCATTGGTCATTTGAAAAACATTTCTAATTTAACTTTTGTAATCTGCGCGATTATAAGAAAAAATTTGCTTTTCAAATAAATAAAGATCGTTTGAATTTTATTTAAAAATTAATTACCTATAGGAGTGTGAATTCCAGTTACTTTGTGGCATTCATGAGTACTCGTTACTTCCCTGATCAATACCCATTACACTTTACTCGTTACATTTTACTCTTAAAAAAATAGTTATTTTAAATATTGAGAATATTCCGAGTGGAGATGGATAAAAATTCGATTTGAAATAAAGATTCAAATGACTGCTCTATTCGTATTAATGAATTCGTATTATTCGATGAAAGAAACCTACATGATCGTTCAAAGAAATGTAACCAATTACAAAATTTCATATAAAAATCTATTCGATTAAATAAATTTAATGTTCAAAGTAAATTAAATTTTTTTGTTTAAAATTCTGTGAACTTTACTTTTGATACTTACATACTTGTACTAGCTAACACTGTTCGAAATTTGAATATTTTGAGTTTGCATTACAATTAAAAATGTTGAAATAATTTTTTACAGGAGTGGGTAGTCAATTCATCCTCTAAAGTGTTGTAAAATATTTTGAATTCTTTCGAAAATAACAACTTTAGCAATAAAATTTACTGTTGTAAAAGTGGAAACCATTTTAGATATTTTATACACATGAATAAGCGTCATTATGCAAAAGGTAATCTCTATTGCAAATCAAAACAACATGAAACAATTCTTCCATTTTACTTCTATATATGCTAAAATATCTCTAACATTTTGTTTTAGTTTTTTCTTTTTGCTGTCTTTTAATGAACCCCTTGAAAAATTTTAATGTTTTTTTTCAAGAAAAATAGAAAATTTTCAGTATACAATTCTATACAAATTTATCATAAATTGAAGTATTTGAAATCAAAAAGATGAAGGAATGATCTAAGGATGGAAAAGAATAAAAACGGAAATTAAAAGGTACCGACAAAAAAAAGAAATACAATAAAAAAAAATTTTAATCTTATTGGCAACATAATCAGGACATTTTTTTTTTTGTAAAGGATTTTATTTTATACATTTTTTTTTTGTTATAACAACCATAATCAGAATTCGAAAGTAAAAGACAACAATTGTACATAAATAAAAATTTTTATTTTACATTTTTAAGATTACAAATCGGTACAGAAGACGCCCTTTTAAATTTTGTTTTAATTCTTGTAAAAATAAAAGAAAAAAGTTTTTCTTTCCTTTACAAAATTTTTTAAAAATGAAAGAAAAAAAAAATAAAGGAATTATCCAAGAAGTAGAAAATCGAAAACAAAAAAAAAAAATATTACAAAATTTTATTTAACAATGAACCTTTTTTTTTTTTCTTCTTTTTCAACTCTTATCCTTAAAAATAACATGAAACATGAGAACAAAAAAAAAAACACAAGTAGTGTGATTTTAAAAAAGGATTTTCGCTTAATATCGGCTACAGATCGCTAGTTAACAAGTATATAACAGAAATACAAAAAGAAGCACAGATAAGAAAACCATTAAGTTGACTTGACCCAACAATAGAGTACCGGCGCATAATCAAATGATAATTTAATATAAAAAAAAACAAAAGATCATCTTCGTTTTTTGAAATTTTCTCTCAGAATCAATTGAAATTGCTAAAAATAGATTAATACGGACAAACAAATTCACACTTTTTCTTTATTCTTGCTAAATTATTAACACATGAACTTAAACAAAACTAGCACATGAATATACATATATATAATTAAGTATGAAAATACTTTTGTATTGATTTTATAATATTGCCGGAAATTTGGATAAAGAGTGCTCTGGTTGCTTCTTGAGTAAAAATTATCATTAATCTCGAGAAATATCGATATTGACATTCGCTAAGAATAAAGTATACTCCATAAAACTGTTGTAGCGTAAGCCTAAAATACTAATAACGTTATAAGGTTAAGACAAATAATTTATAAACTTGTTATTAAACTTATAACTGCAATAAAATTCGAACAAGCAGCTGAATTAGCTTGCAGTGTCATAATATTTGTGCTTCAAACCAAAAGTCTATAAGATTTAAAAGTGGCACAATTTCAGTACCATGTATTTGTATAATGAAAACAAAATGAAGAGTTCTTACAGAAGCCATGATTACTGAATTTGGTTTAGATATTTAGAATACATTCCCGCATAAGACAAAGTATTGTCATAATTTTTTTGATTTCTGTTGTAGCGACCATATTTTTATTAAATTTTTTGTTTAGCGTGAGCATTCCTTGTGTAATTTAGTTATCCTATTATTATTTTCTGTTAACTAATAATTCATGCTTGCATTTATTCATGATACGGAATAATTTTTAAAATTTACCTTCTAAGAATTTCGAGTTTTTCGGATCACGAAAAATAAAATCTTTATCTCATTTTCTCAACTTAAAAATATCATCCTAATTTGTTTTCTTTTTCACAATCAGCCATTACAAATGGACTTCAAAATTTAAAATTTTCATCTTAAATACAATTTATCGGGATATTTAAAATTATCGCTCAACTTATTTGCTTTCTTTCAAAAACAAAACAAAAAACATTTTTCTTTTATTTTTCACAGAACAAAAAAAAAGGACAAAACTGAAAAAATAACAAATGTCCTTTAGTCCCTTTTAGGTATAAAAACAAAAAAAAACAACAAAACTTTTATTATAACAAAATCCTAACGTGATGTAACACTAAAAAAAATATCAGTTTTAAAAGAAGAAGTATTAAAAATAAAGCAAGGTACCCTTAAGGATAATTTTTCTTTTATTCAGTCACTCTTATTTTTATCTCATCTAAACTTTAGTTCATTGTCATTGCAACAAAAAAAAACAACACAAATATAATTATAAGTTCTAACACACACATATATACTTTATACAATTATTTACAAGATAAGTTTTAAGTGAATTTATTAAAGGATAAAGGATAAAAAAAACAATAAAAAATGAAACAAAGTTATACACAAAAAAAGTAAAACTAAATGAAATTGTTAAAAATTGCAATGTTTTGCCTTGTAAAATGAACCTGAAGTAAAAGAATAGAAAACACCGTCAAATTTTCTTAACAGATAAGAAAAAAAGTATAATCTTTCGAATGAATATCGTGTGTTATTTGAAATTTGAAGTTGACATAGCTATACAAAACTATACTGAATTCTTAAGGTACACCAGCTTAATTTTAAAAACCAAAATTTTTTTAAAAGTAACTTTTGCTTTTAAAATTACAACATTTAAATTAAACTATTGAAAATATTCTGGGAAAATTAAAGAAAACTTTAACACCTTTCTCAATAATCTTTAAAATATAAAAGCCATTCCATCGATCACTTAGCCCTTTTTTAATTGTTCACTCGCTGCAGGATTTTAATTCAAAAGATTTAAAATTCTTCGAGCAAATATTCATAATTTTCTATTTTAGCTACTCATGAGTCATAAGTGAATTAATGTAATGCAATGCCAACTAGTAGTTATGTTATGGTGTGAAAATTAGCATAGACAAAAATGTGTAAAAACTTTAATGTTCTATTTTGTAAAGATTTTTAAGCGAATTTTAGAAAACATTCTTGAAATAAAGTCGAACTCTAAAAATATTTCATATATTATTGGATAGCATATTCAGTGTAATACTATGAAGAGAGCTACAGTGGAATTAACTCAGGTTAAGTGAATGATTTGTAAAATTTTGCTAAAATGCAATCTACATATTATAAATTTAAATTACTTTCATTACTTTCAAAACATATCAAATTTTTGCA